AAAATATGGCCCTCCTCTTATTCTAGTAGTCATGAAGTGCTCTTTTAGCTACTATTACAGATGTCACTTTATTTTCTCTGGATGGCAAGCCGATGCTCTAACCGCTGAGCCAAACCGGCCAGGGCTGATGTCACTTCATTTTCGTCCCAGCTTACTTCCTATGACTCTGTTCCTAACCATTCATTTTCAGAAATTAAAAGAAGTAAAATAAAATATTGAGCATATATCTCCTCCTAACTCTCCCCTACCTTTAAAAAAAATCACCAACCTATGGTTTTAATGCTGCCAGCAATCTTTTTATGTGTGATGGGGGGTCAGTACTGATATTTTTGCCTCAAAGTAATGATGAGTTACTGTGTGGTCTACTACTTGATGCTCTACTTGGCAAAACACTTGCTCCTAGAACTATGTTTGCTTAGATTCCTTTACTCACATGGTAACCATAGCTACCACATAGGAAGAAAGAGCAGGGTCACAGGTGCATTTTTAAATCTCACTTAAAATTTTTTTTAGCATTAAAAAAATTTAGGTAGAATTTGCATAACTATAACATATACCCATTTTAACTATATTCATGGATGAATTATAGTAAATTCATATAGCTGTATGTGTCTGATGTTTCTTATGCATCTTTCTTTAGCATCACCAGCATCCAGTTTTAGAATAATTCTGTCGGCCCTCAAAAGTCTCTTGTGTTCATTTTAGTTAATCCCCACTTCTTTCTCTCACCCAAGACATCACTGGTCTGTTTTCTATCTGTATAGCTTTACTTTTTCTAGAAATTTGAAATATGGAGTCATACACTATGTAATTTTGGCGTCTGGCTTCTTTCATTTAGCACGGCATTTTTAAGGTTCAGTCATGTTGTATGTGTCAGCAATCCATTCTTTTTTATTGTTGAGTGGAATCCATTTGTATGACTGCACTACATTCTACAAAAAAATATTATCTCCAATTGATAGACATTTGAATTGTTTCCATCTTTTGGCTGTTATGAACAAAACTGCTTAGGAACATTCATTACAACTCTTTGTGTGGTCATCTGCCCCCAGAGAAATGAAAACACACCTAGGTGTGAAATTGTCAGGTTATGTGATGGAAAACTTCCAAACTGTTTTCCAGAATGGCTGCCCTGTTGTTCTTTCCCACCACTGAGGGGTGTGATGTGAGGGTTCTTGTTTCTTTGTATCCTTGTCATCACTTTCAATATTTTACTGAATGTCTGTGATATTTTGTTTTGGTTTTAATTTCCATTATCCTGATGACTAGTGGTGTTTAGTACTATTCTGTGTACTTTCCCCATTGTGTATTTACTCTGATATATATATATATATTAATATATATATATTTACTCTGATATATATATATATATATATATATATATCTCAAGGTTTTTTTTATGTGTGTGTGTGTATCTATCTTCAAATATTTTGCCCATTTCTATAAAGTTGAATTATTTGTTTTATTATTGAGTTGTAAGAATCTTTTATATATTCTAGATAGACATCTTTTATCAGTTAATTATATAGCTCTTTATATATTCTAGACACATGTACTTTATCAGATAATTATTTTGCCAGTATTTCCTCCCAATATGTGACTTGTATTTTTATTTTTAAAATAGTCTTTTGAAGAACAAACATTTTAATTTTAATGGAGTTTAATTTATTATTATTTTTTCTTTTATGGTCTTTTTATGTTTTTTCTTTTATACATTTGATATTATATTTAAAAACTTTTGCCTAATCCACAATAATTTTTCTTCAAGCTTTGTAGTTTTAGTTCTTAACCTTTAGAACTGTGATCCTATCCATTTTGAGTTAATTTTTGTACATGGTGCAAGGTAGAGGTCAAGGTTCTTTTTTTCCCCCTCCATATGTATAACTGGTTTGGGGCACCATTTATTGAAGCATGTCTTTTCCTTATTGAATTTACTTGCCATCCTTGTTGAATATGAATTGATGTAAATGTGTAGCCCTGTTTCTGGTCTCTGCTCTCTTCTGTTGTTTATCCTTATGCCCATACCCTATTGTTTCGATTATTGTAACTTTATAGTAAGTCTTGAAATCAGGTAATGTCTTTCAACTTTTGATGTAGTTTTAAAGCAGGTCCGGTTAAAAAATGTCCTATATTTTTGTGTCTCTCTGGAGGATTATGGGCTGATAAAGGGATATCCCAGGGAAAATCGGTTCTACTTGGGCTCGGTAGGCCTGAAGCTTCAATTTTTTTATCACTTTATTGAGTTACCTGCCTTTGCTAGCAACATTTAATAGGATCATACTTGGCAGGATCATAATTATAAAGCCCACTATGTACCAGGTGCTTTATGGAATTATCTCATTTGATACTTCGAAAGTGCTGCAAAGAGAACGTTATTATCCTCATTTTATAGATGAATCCTAGGTTACTTACCTAAGCTGGTGCTAGTGACATTATATTTACAGCAGCAGTGTTTACATGATAAAGCCAGAGTTTGAAACGTGGTCTATCCTATGATGCTTAATTCCAGGTTCTTTCTGCTGTTCCAGTGCTGCCTTCTGTAGTGACCTGTGGCTTTGTGGAGAGGAAGTATATACCTTTTTAGTTCATACATAGAAATAGCAGTAGTTAGAGGGGGAGGATGACATTTGTCCCTCTGCCTTTCCTCTGGCTCTGCCAGGCCTGGGGTAGTCCCCTCTCCCTCCCTTGAAACACATTCTGGAAGGAGCTTTGTGAAAACTGTCAGGACTGATGGAAGAATAGAGGGATGTTAATTAGTTTATTTTTAAAATATGTTTTTATTGATTTTCTAGAGAGAGAGGAAAGGAAAGCGAGAGAAACATCCATGTGGTAGAAAAATATCTATCGGCTGCCTCCTGCACGCCCCCTACTGGGGATCGAACCCAAAACTCGGGCATGTGCCCTGACTCGGAATCCAACTGGGACCTCTCAGTCCACAGGATGACGCTCAATCCACTGAGCCACACCACCAGGCAGGATGTTAATTTATTATAGAGTTCTTCTTGCGTGTACTACTGTTTTAATGACTATTATATTCCCTTAGTAACTTATAAAATATTTTGTAATTCTGTGCTGAAGTATTTTATCAATTCCTTTTGTTTGAAACATTACACCAAGATATTATGGTGTACTGTGGAAATTATCCATATCTTCATATGTCCTTTATCTTCATGTCTCTCTTTAGTATGGATGCTTTGGTATTTTTTCCTCATATTAGTAAAAACTCAGTTAATAGTACAGATCAAGCAGTTATAGTTTAATATCATCATTCCTACTAATATCAAGTTTTAGCTCTTGATGGTTGTATAGTGTGATGTCCTTGAGCAAATTAGTTGTTGGTATAGAATTATATATAATAGGCTTAAGTAGGCCAGCATAATGAATACATTTACCCCAACAGTGTTGGAAAGAATTGATGGCTCCTATTACATAACACTTTATTGCACACTGCCGACTGACTACCACTTGAGGAGAATCTGTTCGTTTTACCTACTGTAATAACTTCTTATTTGCATACAGATTTCCTTTTGTTTTTCATAAATTATCTCTGACTAATACCCTAGCTACATTTCATTACTTATGATGATCACCAAGCTGATCAGGTCCTGGTAAAAATCAAAATGCAATTTTTTCTCTTTCTTCTTTCAACCTCTTAGATTATGAAATCAGATGTTTCCAGTGCCCTAGAAAAATGTTAATTTGGGTATTAAATTAGCATTAGCTTTTTTCCTATTATGTTCTATTTATTTTAAAGAGTAAAGGGCTCTTAAGAAAATTAATACTATTTTAAGTTAGATAATTAATCAGAGTGTCATTTATTACTGATTGGTGTCACCTGACAATAAAAAAATCTGGGAGTTCAGTTGTAAAAATATTCCTTGCGGCTGTTAAATCTTGATATAATGGTTAAAAAAAGACTTACTACTAGTAGTAGAAATCAGACCATTTTTCTCAGGTCCATAAAATAAAAATAGTCAACATTGATACACATAAAATATCATTAGCACAAATTTGTTGTGTTTGTCTTCCTCGCTATTCATCTTGAAAACAACTTTGGTTCAGTGGAAGTGGTTTCTGTGTGGATCTGAGGAAATGCCGCAGGGTCCTTGTTAAGCTCTGTGTCCTCAAAGATATACATCCAGAAGAAACTTGGAGAGCAGCTGCCCTCAGTATTGAAAACATTCTTCCTTTTCTTGTCATGTTTGCTCTTGCAAATTGTTATGAATGTCTGTGTAGCATCATTTTCATATCATTTTACTTAAGACTATTTTTTGAGATACATTGTTCAGTCACTTTTGAACTTCTTTCTTTAAACAGTTATGACATAGAGTTTCATTTCAGTCATTTCAAACCTCTCAATTCCATATATGTCAGCAGTTCTCAACCTGTGGGTCGCGACCCCTTTGGGGTCGAATGGCCCTTTCACAGGGGTCGCCTAAGGCCAATGGAAAACACATACTTCAGATGACGATTCATAACAGTAGCAAAATTACAGTTATGAAGTAGCAATGAAAAGAATTTTATGGTTGGGGGTCACCACAACATGAGGAACTGTATTAAAGGGTCGCAGCATTAGGAAGGTTGAGAACCACTGGTATAGGTGAACTGTAAATTACAGCAAGTAAAGGTGACTATGTAAAGTTTGCTTACTTATTCAGCAAACATTTACTGCACATGGGTTTAGCGCTAGCAGTGCAGGGTGCAAGGTGGTAGCTTGGCCTCCTCTGCTTCTACCCAGAGCTAGTGATGAGTCCAGCTGCTACAAGAAAGTACAATGAGTATATGTCAGGGTAGACACATCATACTTGACAATGAACTTTGACCTTACATGTGTTATATTATTCTGTGCAAATAGAAGTAATGCAGCAAGTCTACTTTTTGGTTTTACCATGTAGTTTAATGGAAAGGTGTTATTAAATGAGTATTAACTTATATGTTGGTTGTAAAAATCACAGGATTCTGCATTTTTATTTATGTTTGTTTGTTTATTTATATTGCAGATTTCTCTTGAATTTGGCCACAAATTTATAGATCTTCTGCACTGTATACAGGTACAGGTGAGTTAAAATTAAGCCTCTCTGTTGGAATATTTTGATTTTTAAGTAACATCAAATATTTTTAAATTATTCTATTATAGTTTAGCAAAATAACAAATGTAAATAAAATGAATGTGAAAATATAAAAACTTATAAAAATATTGTCTACATTTCTGTTTTATTATTATGTGTTGAAAATAACATTTGACAGTAAAACGACATACCTGTTTATCAGCACTTACTGTGTATATTTGGGAAGATTACATATAAATTTCATAGCCTGGCAAAATGTTTGTGTTTGTTTTTATATGTAAATAAAAGAATAGCTGCTAGATATTTTGGCAGCAAATTTCAGTTTTATGGAGGTAGATGTTTTAAATTTGATGAACAGGCTTTTCTAGTCCAACCAGTCTGAAATAGCGTCTCAGTCACTCCTTATCACACAGCCCTCTTTATTTTTGTCATAAAATTTTATTATTTATAGTTTCCTCTGCTAGAATATACGCTCCTTAAAACATTGGGACCATTTTTGTCTAGTTCAAAACATATCCCTAACCCTTAGGATAGTGCCTGGTATATAGGAAAGACTGAATAAATGTTTGTTAAAGTAATTACTGGATAATAAATACTAAACGTTTATTTGTATTCAGAGTCGCTGAACTTTGCATCTGTAAATACAAGCCAGAACTAGTTCTTTATACTTATTTCTAAATGTAAAATTAATTTATATGCTATTTAAAGTATATAGCTCTTAAACGTTATGAGAAATTGCCTGTGTTGTATTTTATGTACTCAGATATGCTTAATCAGGGTAGATTTCAAAGGGTAGTGCTTCCAGTTTTGTACTTATTTTGTTACTATGCTTGAAGGATCTTTTTGATGAAGTAAGAGACAAACCTGAAGTTGATTGGGAGCTTCCCACCTCCTTACTAAATTATGCTACCATAGTAGATATGTTTTGTGATAACTCTATAAAGAAAAAAGTCTGTTTGAAAATTGTCCACTTTTAATCTCTGAAAACCAAATAAGTTAAAAATTTCCCACTACCTGTCGTTGGATATGTAGCTTAATTAGTTTTCTGTTTCTAGTTTGGGAAAATTTTCTGTCCTCTATATTGATGTTTGAATTCATTATCAAAGATAGCTGTAGGCAGGAGCTCACCATCTTTTTTCTTGTGCCCTTGGTGATTTTCTTTAAGTGTTCCAGGATATTGGGTTCCTGTCTCTTGTTTTCTTGTGTGTTTTGTTGGGTGTCTTTTTTTTTTAATTTAATTTTATTTTTTTTATCTCTTGCTTTTTTTAGGCATTGGTTTCTCCTTCTACCATCATGTTTTTGTTTTTGTTTTCATTTATAGAAAGAACTAAATCTGACCTTTAGGGTTTCTGTTTTTGTTTTTTTAAGTAAAAATTTGGAATTCTACAGCTATTTCTCATTCACACCTAATTTTACAAGTACAATTTGCAGAGATTGCTTTTATAACACTAATAACGGCAGCTGTAACTTATTGCTCTCTCACTGTGTGCCAGGTATTATGTAAGTGCTTTTCAGTTATCTTCAGAATAGCAGATAAGGAAATGGAAGCTTAGAGAGGTTAAGTGACTTTTCCAAGGTCACTTTCAAGTAAGTGGCAGTTTGTCACTCTAAAGACCTTGATCTTAACCACCAAGTGCCATTTTCTTCATAAATAACCCTGAATATAAACATTTTTTTTTTTGGCAATAAGTGTAATATAGGAAAATTATATTCATATCTAAAGACTTCAAAATTAATTTAAAAGTCAAACATTATTTTGCTTACATTTCATTAGCAGGTCTCAACTTTTAACCTTTATTTCAAACAATGAAATGTGATAACTCATTTGAAATGTAATAACGATGTACACAATCTAAACTTGCACTCTGCACTTTCATGTCATACTTACTTGTGGGGGCCAGGCCCATGGGGGAAGGCCACCAGATTTCTTTCTCCATCATAAACATGGCACGCCATGAATCGGCATTCTTCCTTTTCCCGCTGTAAATGTGACACACCATGAGTCGGCATTCTTCACCCCTTGCGTTATCAGACATTTTAGGTTACAATGGCATATGTGGTTTGTTTTCTTTTTTCCTACAGAAAACAGGTTGTGAGAAATATAGTGACTAAAGAATTACTTATAATCCTTATCTTAGAGTGTATAATAATTAATATCTTGGGAAAATTTTTTAATAATTTAAGAATAAAGTGGAATCACTTTGAGGTAGAGTAGAGTTGGCTCAAAGAGAACTTCAGCATTACATATTTAGTTTATTTTCAAGGCTGAAGAGGACATATTACATAAACATATTTGAATCTTAAATGTATAATATTGTGGACAGTGTTTTCAAGGCAGTGTTGTTGAATGCATCTTAAATTTTTGATTGATAATATGATTAATTATACTTCCTCACAGTTTCCAAAAGCATTGTATCTATGAGTGTAAATGCAAATTCCAGGTTTGAGTATAGGCAGAGACTTCTGTGATTTGAATTAAAAAGAAAAAAATAATGTCCTGGCCGGTTTTCTCAGTGGTTAGAGCATCGGCCCTCAGACCAACGAGTCTCAGGTTTGATTCCTGGTCAAGGGCATGTACCTTGGTTTCAGGTTCGATCCTAGCCCCAGTTGGGGTTGTGTGGGAGGCAACCAATTGATGTGTCTCCCTCACATCGATGTTTTTCTCTCTCTCCCTACCACTCTATCAAAAAACAATCAATGGAAAAATATCCTTGGGTGAGGATTAAAAACATAAAAATTGATTTAACATATCAAACCACGTTTCTTCTTTTTATTCATTGTCTTTTTTTTTTTTGGGTTAATCATCCTCACCTGATGATATTTTTTCCATAGATTTTTTAGAGAGAGTGGGAAGAGAGGAGAGAGAGAAGGACACTGATGTGAGAGAGACACATCTATTGGTTGCCTCCCACTTGACCCTCACCCTGCACAGATGGGGATCAAGCCTGTAACCCAGGTACATGCCCTTGATCTGGGAGTCAAACTGGAGACCCTTCAGTCTGAGGGGTGACACTCTAACCATTGAACCACACTGGCCAGGACAAACCGTGCTTCTTAACCTATAGCAACATCAGTATTTCCATTCCAGTTTCACATTTTAAGCATTTTTAAAGTTAGCCAATAAACTTTTCTTAGAATTGTCAAAACAGGAGCAAGCATTAGATAAATGTTTGACAATTTAGCCTTGCAATATGATTTTTTCCCCCTTCATTATGGAAAACAACTCACCCTGGATTCATATATACTTTGGGTTTATTTATAAGTTTACTTTCTGTATACTGGAAGATTTGGGGCAGGAGGACAGGGTGGGGGAATTATCGTTCACACATACTACATAGAGCCCAACTCTTCAACACTAACATGCAGAGATAAGCTCTCCAAAGTACAACAGAGTATAATATACTTCTTGTGATACTAGTACATGTTGTTATATACTAAATATTGAAAATTATATTAACTATATTAAGACAGAAGAAATTATGTTCATATTGGATATGCCATGGTTGCAACCACATTTAAAATGAATGTTTGCTATATTTTGAATTTCCTTGTTGTAATAGATGTGAGAAAATTTTATAGTTAGATAAATTTAACTGAGAGATGTGTAAATTCCCATGATGGTGAGCAGCTTGATTTGAGCTTGATCTGAGGCTTTGAGCACTGTCCACTGAAAGAGTTAATCTACATAAAATTTTAGAATATTTAAATATGTATCTTTTGGCCCGGCCAGCATGGGTCAGTGGTTGAGCATCGACCCATGCACCAAGAGGTTGCTGGTTTGATTCTGGTTCAGGGCACATGCCCAGGTTGTGGACCAAATCCCAGTGGGGGTGGCCAGTCGATGTTCTCTCATTGATGTTTCCCTCTCTCTCTCTCCCTCTAATATCAATAAAGAAAAAAAAATTATAAAAATAAATATCTATCTTTTGCTTTAGGCAAAATCTGTTAACATTAATTGTATTGCTACTTTTGTTGTAATTTTTTTAAAATGTCATCATGGCCCTGGCCGGTTTGGCTCAGCGGTTAGAGTGTCGGCCTGCGGTCTGGAGAGACCCAGGTTCGGTTCCCGCTAAGGGCACGTACTTCGGTTGCAGTTTGTCCCCGGCCCTGGTCGGTCGTGTGGGTGGCAGCCACTCGATGTGTCCCTTTCACGTCGATATTTCTTTCTCTCTCTCTCTCCCCCGACTCTATCTGTACAAAAATTGCAAAAATGTCCTCGGGTGAGGATTAAAAAAAAATAAAATAAAATGTCATCATGGTAAACTGTGATAGGGAAATAACAAATATTTTGACAGTTGACAAAGTGCCTTCAGTTGTTTAACTATTCTAACTAGAATTCTGATCCTAGTCCCCCTGGGCAGACTACTCTGCTCTTAATATGTGGGTGGACTGCTGCTGGACTCAGAACGAAAGAAGCTTCCTGGTGGGTTGGAATTATCTTCCATGAGTGTTACTGCCACAAAGCCATCAGTTTGAAACTATTTGTATGACAGCCAGTTTTTAAATTACTTTTACTATTTCGCTTTCCTCCCCTTTTTATGCACACATTATTTTAAACAGATTGGCTGAGTTTTCACCATAAAACTAAATACATTTAGCATCCTTTCTATCTTCTCTCCCTTTTACTTTCAGGTTGTCCCTCCTTTCTGACTCTTCCTTGCAGAAATATTTATTAATTATATGGTGTTAGCCTATGCTAAGGGTTGGGGGACATATACAGAATAATTATCAAAAATTATTAAGCTGGGAGGAGTAACAATGAAAGTTTTATTCCGTATTTCCTTGCTCAGTATTTTTACATTAAAGCTTGGCTTTCTGATTTTTAAAGGAATAAAACTGAGCATTGATTGCTAAATTATACATCTGTTCCTACTAACCTGTTACTCATGCCAGTGGAGATTAAGGCAGCAACAAAAGCTGTTTGTTATAAGTAAATGTTTGTTTATATGGCGTTAATAGCGCTTTCAGAGTATGGAACACACCTCATA